GGACATTCCAGCTCCCTTCCCCAGCCCCAGGTTTGAGTCAGCAGTGAAGTTTTATCTGGGGCTCATTTCAGGAGCCGTCAGCTCCTGTTTTGTCCCATTTTTAAAACCAGTGCAAATGTGACCAGTAGGGAGTTGTCAAAGCTCCAATATTTAATTTAGGGCACTATGATAAGAGTCAAAATTAAGCTGGATGCAGGGTAAAGCAATGAAAAAACACAAGTGGGGAATGGTCCTACTCACACCTGCCTCAGGCACCTTTATCTGCCCCGGAAACACTCCCGTGTTCTCCCTGCAGGATTCAGGACCAGGACCCCCCTCAGCAGTGCATGATTAGAGCCTTTGAAGTTGCAAAAGCCACATGAATACTAAAGGAACCTCTTTGTTCCTCCGCTGGCATTCCCTGCAGGGATCCTGGCTGGGAGCTGAGCAGGTGTGGACAGGGTTTGGGAAGCCTGGTGGCTTTACCCCCCTCCCTGCTCCAGCTGCCTCTGCCCGTGCCCTCTGCCCGGCAACAGCGGCCCTTTTCAGTCCTTTCTTTTCATCTGCACAGTCGTTACAATTCCCTCGTCAGTAATGACCTGACAAACGTTTTAGGACGAGTTTGGGGTTGCTGCACCCAGCTGTTATCTTACCCTGGGGTTAGAGCTGGAGAGGCAGAGCCCAGCAGTGCTGTGGGCTCCCGTGGGGCACAGAAGAATCTTCCCCTTCAATAGGCTGGGCAATGTTTAGAATATTCATGTAGGTTTGTCCGTGACAGAACCAAAACTGCAAATCCATCCCTGGTAGTTGTACCTGGAGAGGCCCTGCCTTACCCAGACCATGAGAGACTCCACTCCCTTTCTACCAAAGCACTATCAAACAAACTCCAGGCAGGTGCAGTGATTTGAACAGGGAGCATTATCTATCTCCAGTAAGGGACAAAAACACAATAAACTTGGCAGCTTGTCTCAAAAACATCCAGGACCTGTTTCCAGTTATCTGTTGTTATTCATCATTAGAGGAAGAAGAGCCTCGCAGTGATCATTACACAGCAAGATGAAGCAGATCTGAAGGGGCTGTCACGTTTTAATCTTCCCCTCATGCCGCTCTGCAGTCAGAGCCCAGCACACCACCAGCCACTCCACGGTGCTCCAGAACGGGAAAACACATCCCAGCTCCTTGTCCAGCCTCTCCACCCAGGTACACAGAGGACCTGGAGCTTATGGGGCTGGGAAATACCCTATTTTCTTTGTATGTAACTCAGTTCATTCCCTGACCCCCAGGGACCTTGATGTCACTCAAAAGCAAAAGCATTTTGATGTACGTGCATTATGTTACAAAAACCACGCTCAGAGAAAGGATCTGGTAAACCATGAGGAGAAAAAAAATTCTGCAGGAGAAGAGATTCCCCAAACACCCCAACCAGCCCTGCAATCATTAGTGAAGTGGCTTGGGGAGCAAACAGAATTAAAGCAAGGCTGCAGCACGTGCTCTCAGCCACACGATGGATTCTCACTGAGATAATGTCACACACAGCACAAGTTAAACAAGATGTTACAGAAAACGGGCCTGTCAGGCAAACAGGGATTGCAGGCAATCTCCTCGTTCCCAAACACAGCCTATTGACAATGATTTACATGTGACAGGAAGGCTCCCGAGCAGATGGGAAGCTGGCAGGCTGTTTGGAGAGCTGCAGTCCAAGGAAGATTGCCATTGAAAGCTCAGACAGTTCTATAGAGCAGAGACAAACTAAATATGCAAACTGTAAATGTAATTAAAAGGACTGGAGGGATTGGTTAGGAAGGGAGAATGAGGGGTTTGAAAGGTATATGTGGAAATATTTAGGCTGACACGTGGGGTTTGTATGACAACATTAAGAAGGATGAGTATCAGACAAAGAATAAATTTATGGGGAAATCCACGAGGCTGTTTATGAACACACAGATATGCTTACGAAGAGAATTAAAAGTTATAAGCAGACACAACGTTTAAGGGAAAAAAGATTACAGGAAACAACCTGGCACCAGCAAAGAATAACTGATCTAATGCAGCTTTCAGGAGTAAGTCTCACAAGGGATGCACTCCAGGCCATGGATACAACACACCCCCTGTTTACCAGCCCCACACTTACTTGGGTTCTACATTTTCAGGTCTCCTTGTTCAGCACTGACATTGTCATTTCTCACAGGACATCAGGACTTGTCTCCTCAGAGCCAACATTTAGTTCTGTCCCTCAGGAACACATATTCCAACCTCCACACGTGCTGGGTGCTCTGCAAAACCCCCAGTGGTGCCCAGGCACGTCCAGACAGCCTCTTCCCAGGTGGGGACAGGGGCACTGAAAGCACGGAGGTGACAAAGGATTCCCTGCACAGTTTACCCTTTCACTGACAAATGGCAAACAGGCTGTGCCCATTCTGGGGATATCAATTGTCCTCTGCCCTGTGCTGCTCACCAGGGGTTACTTTTACACCACACAGAGACCAGAACAGAGCACCAGCAGTGTCCAACTCCCAGCCCCCTCCATCTAAAGGGAAGCTCCTCCAAGCCCCCTGCAAGCAGGGACAAACCTCCAGGGCAGTGGGGACAGACACCAGGAACACTCCTGGGGCTGTGGAGGTTAAACAGGAACCAGGGCACTCTTACAGCCACCCAAGGTCACCCCCACACAAAAGGCAGTTGTACCCTTTACCTGCAGGGTTTGTACCCCAGATGGAGCACTTGCAGGCCAACACCTTCCAAAGCACAGGCAACAAACACAAACTCACCAGCATCACCACAGGGTCCCTTCAGTGCCTTCTCCCAGCTGGAGAGATGCATGTCCTGACAGAGGCTTTCTTCTTCTTCCCTCCCAGGACTGTTCCTCGTGCCATAACACTTCCTACCCCTTCTATCTCCCACAGCTGGCTGAGAGCTTGAAGCTCTTTGACTTTCTACTTCTCCATGGGTCCAGAATTCTGTCTTAATGCTTTTGTATATATAAAAGCAGCCTTCAGCATCCCAACACTGTTGCTGGAGACTCCAGTTAGTGAAACACTAACTGAGTTAGTGTTAGTAGAGTTACCAGAAACAGTTCCTGAGTGGATTCCTAATGAAGCAACAACTGTATTAGAGTATTTGTCCTCTACAATAAACCCCTTCTGCTAAGGCAGACATAAAACAACAAGGAAGCTAAACCACTGTGAGCTCTTATAAGACTCAGAGAGCTGCCTGCACCTGGGACAAGACCAAAGTGAGGTTGCAGTGGTCTAATTTAAAATGAGAGAACACCTGGTTGCTGTTAAAGGAGTCATCAGCACCATTAGTCACCTGTGGCATTCAGAGCACTTGCAAACACCAATAAGGCTGTCTGAGCACCTGGGCCTTTATAAACCACTCCAAAGTTACTGTTGGACAAGATGGTGGGGTTGATAGCATTTTAAAATTGGAGTAATGCAAGTGCAACATAAAGCGATGGATGCACGAAATGCAGGCAAAGACATCACCCAAGGTGCAGTTTATAACTATGTCAAATATGTGATATATGTATTAAAAAGCTGCACTTCTGGTTTCAGCAGTTTCCCTGCAGAGAGATCAGTGCTGAATGCCCATTCCTGCTACATCCCTAAGCCAAGGAGACTGGGATGCTGCAATGGTTGGGGTGTTAAAACACGAGTTTTAAAACATCCCCCTCTGGTTTCTAATGTAACATTATGTTCATGGAACTTTCTGGAGGTGAAATCAAATTAAATGACATGTTTAACTGCCCTGTCTGGCAGCACTTTCAGAAGCTGTTTTAAGGAGAATGTCCTGTGCTAAATGCTCAGTAATAAACACAGTGCCACCCCTGAGTCCCTCAGGGGAGCCTCCCAGTGACACAGAGAACCCAGAGTTCCCACTCCAGCAGTTCTAAACCAGGGTTTTGCCACACAGGTGAGGAATTCTGACCCTGGAGAGAGTCAGACAGACAGACAGACTCACACAGCCACGTTAAAGTACCACCCCTTGGCTTGCTGGGAGTGTGCAGCTCTTTCACACCTTGCAGCAGGTCAGTGGCTGTAACAGCAGGAGGATTTATTTGCCCTTTGCCTCTGTCAATCCAGGCCTTTCCACCTCAGAGCAGAGCCAGACTCTTCATTTTTTAAAGCAGGGTGTTGAGTGACCCTGGGCCTGGGCAGTCTCCCTGCAGAGATGATGGTTCTTTATTCCTGCCAGGCTGAGACACACTCCAGCACCTATGGAAATCAGTCTTCATATGGAAATCAGTCTTCATTCCTGTTCCATCTTCCCATGAAGTAATTCCCTTTCTCCTTCAGGTCACTATATGTATTTTTAAAATTAATCAACACATGTCCTTTACAGTGTGTTTTATCCTGTAGTTCAGAAAATGGGCTTGTTGCCACTGAAGCTCTACAAAAATACTTCTAAGGCTGATTTTCACCAGATGAGATTTTCAGAAGCAGGAGCTGTGCCTGACCCTTCCCTGTGTCCCTGCTGCTGTCACAGAGGGACAGATGGCCCATCTGAGCACCACCAAGAACTCAAGTAAGAGTTTGATTCCCTCCAGCTCCGTTTGGAAGCAACAGTCAAGACTCAATTCCCTCCTCCACCAGCTCCCAATTAATGTGACCAGTTTTTCCAGCACATCTATCCTGTAGGAATGCTGCCCAAAAGTGTACCAATCTCAGCTGAAGAGACAGAATATCCTGGAAGGCTCAGCATGTCTTTAGGTAGCTCCTGGGGATTGTGCAGTGGGTTTTCCAGTGGTTAAATGCATGTTCTCCTCATGTGTTAGGGTCATTTAAAAGGAGAACTTGCACCTTGTCTGACCAGACCGTGATGATATAAAACAAGTCAGTGTTAGTCTCAAACTGTACATCGTTGCTGTGTATCAGCAGATTCTGCAGATATTAACAGAAAATCCTGCTTTCAGTGAAATGTTGGCAGCATCTTGTCAGGGGAGATGCAGGAGTGATTTTATCAGATAGAGAAAAACAAGTATCTTTCCTCCATCAGAGACCACCCAGGGTTAGTTCGGGAAAAAATGCAAGAAACTGTACAGGGTTTAAAGCTACTGCCTGATTTTAGAATAAAACCCTTCCCCTAAGGATCTTTGAAGTACCTGTTGTTCATCTCAGGGATTTTTTTCTTGTTGCCCACCTCTGGAAATGTTTGTTTGCAGTTCCCTCAGTGCTGCTGGTACGCAGGGAGGTGTTCTGTGGGTGCAGCAGGTACAGATGTGTCTCACAGCTGTGCCTCTGGTTCAGGTCCCTCCTTAGCCCTGTATTTTGGGTGTGTATATGTGAAACATCAGTCTGCAATGTTTTACATACCCATAAAACTATAATGCAGCCAGTAACAGGCACTTATTAATCAATGTCCTTCTTTTATAAACACACTTAAATTGTCTCCAAACTTACTACCCCATGTCAGGCTTGTTAGAGCCAAACACAGCCCGTGGCTATCACAAGGTGTGAAGTAAAGCAATGTTTGGGCAGCAATTTTAACACTCCTCACTGTTACCTGTAGGCACCAAAGTGCTTTGATCTAAGGAAGAGGCAGTGCAGGATTCCAGGTGGAGTTTAGCAGAGATTTATTTCATGAAAAGCTTCATTAGCCTGAATTGTTTTACATCCCATTAGTTTCAGACACTCTGGTTTAGCATATGTTCACTTTCTCCCACTTTTCCAGTCCTTCCTCCTCTGTCAGATGCTTCCTGAGCTGTTTGCTGTACACCAGCACAAGCTCCCATCCCCACCATTGGACACAGCTCCAATAAAATGTGCTGGTTCAGGGAATACTTCACTGGCACTAAAGCCTTCCAAGGGGAGGCTGAAAGCAGATTCCTCTTGCCTACCAAAAATTCATTTTTCTAAGGGTTAAATGCACATGCCATGCTGGAGAGAGAGCCCTTCCACATCCCTCATGACACAGGACCGAGTCAGCAGGAATTGGTGAAACCTCCTCATCTCCAGTCACAGAGATCCCACACTCCAGAGACAGAAGCCATCAACCCTTTGTCCTGGCATTGCTGTGTGGAAGCCAAGAGCTGCCCACCTCACTAGAGCACACCTTCTACTCAGAGATTTGCCAATCCCTTTTCTCCTTTCTGTGGATCTCTGAACTGCCTCTAATTCAAACACCTCTCCTTTGTTTTTCCCATCTTCAGCTTTCTTCTTGTGAGAGTCCCAACTCCCTGTGCCATTTCCCACTCCCAGGTTATGGCAGGGAGCCTGTCACATTCCTGCCAGTCCAACATGTAGAGGGGGAGACCTCCTGAGAACACTGACCTGTTTTGTGCTGGTTTAGGCTGCAGGAACTGAATATCTGAAAGCTTTCCTTTGGTGTCTGTGAAGGTCTCATCTCGCAGGTGGCCCTGTCTGGGGGCCTCTCACTGACCACATCCCTGCTCTGGTGGCTGTGACCTCAAAGCCTTTCAGAACAACCTTGACAAGATGAAAAAAGACAAACTGAAGAAATCTGGAGGAAAGTCAGCACTGACATGCCATGAAAACCAAGACACTGATCCACCTTGGTAAATACTATACTACTCAGTTGGGGGGTTTTTGGCTACTTACAAGTGAACTGAGTGTTACACTCTTCCCTCCTTCCCATTTCATTCTCTTTTAAACAGACAGGATCTCATAAGATGAGAGAAAACTGCAATACTGGTACCAAAGTGCCCTTGTTGGTCTCTTCAGAAGCTGAGAACTGCTGGCACCAGCCCAGGACAAGCGACAAAGAACAGGAGGAGTTTGGAGAGCAGCTAGACTTGCAAAGCCCAGAGCACTGTAAAAGAAACCAAACACAAACCAGGATGATGATTGGCAGGGATGGGATGACTCTGCTGCTGGAAATGAAAGTGCTATGAATAATCAGGCACCTCTGACCCAGGAAAACATTGCCTTCATTTGCAGCACAAAAGTGATTGCAGATGGTATTGGGGAGGGGAATCAAGCTATTCACTGTGCTTTCCCCTCACCAGAAAAATTAATTTCCTCTGTGCTGTTGAGCAATGAAAAAACACCTGATTGGATCTGCTGAGACACAGCAGACGTGGAATGAGGAGTGGAAGAGCCCACAGGGTGATGCTAAAGGTAATCCTATTAAAGCAGTGGGCTAGAGGGGCAAATGCACATATAAACTCCTATTTTAACACAGATTAAAACAAATCCCTTCCAGGAACCAATATATTTGGACATTTCTTTAAAATCCTGATGTCACCATTGCTGAGTGGGATGTTGAATGTCATTCCTCATTCCCCACTGCTCCTCCTGTTCATTCCCATGTCCCTGCACTCCCAGCTCCCTGTTGGAGTCAGTCCCTGGAGTGCCCAGCCCTGTCCAGCCTCCTGTGCTGGGAGGCCTCTCCCTGGCAGGGACAGCGACAGCTTCCCTTGGGCTCTCAGCATTCCCGGCTGCTGGAACACATTCCCTGTAGCCACGAGGGCCGAAAGGAGGAGCAGCAAAGCCACATTCCAGAGCCCGCTGAGGGACCTGTGCTGGCTGTGCTGTCACACCGTGTCCTGTCCTCGGCTGGCACCGGGAGAGGCAGCTCCCAGTGGAAAGGAGCCTGGAGACACAGAATAACATTATCCCTTGTTATCCCTTGTCACAGCCCTCGGCTGGTGGAGAACAGGACGGAGCAAAGGCTGCCTGGGCAGCAAATACAAACAGCTCAGAGTGCCCCTGACAACCTGCACTGCCCCCAGCGTGTCTGACACACACAGCACCCGCTGGAGGTGGGTGTCACTGCCCCTCGGACAGATCCTGCCTCAGGACAAGTGAGTCTTAACTCTGGCCTTCCAGGGCCTTTGGAAATAAAGTCCAAAGGCAAGGAGGAGGGAGAGGACGAGGAGGAGGAATTTGGGTCCTTTTCTTGCACCTCTGCAGCCTCATTGGAGGGCAGATGTTTCTCACATTTTGTGTGATCCACATTTTATTTTGCTACTCGATGAATCCACATTTATCTCTAAACGGGTTAAAGAAACTTCTTTTCACTGGTTTTACTGTGGAAATATTCTCAGCAAGAACTCAGGTGTCCTTTTTCACTCCATGTCCTCCCTCACAGCCCTGCCTGCTCCCACCTTTGCCACCCCCCTCCCAGTGACATCTCCTCTGTGCAAGGTGTCCATGTACACAAAACCCAAGGTCAGGCACTGAAAATGCAACCTGCAAAGACAAAAAGCTGTGCAGAACAGTTGCACTGCCTCCCACACTGAAGCTTAAGCTCTGCTCACAGGCCTGCATTTCTTAAAGCGATGTTTTCGTGGAGCAGGATAGAAATATTCCCGAAAAAAAAATCCCTACAACCAAGATTTCCAGATTAGGTGCCCAAGATTAGGCTCCTAAACCCATAATTAAATCTTTAAGTAAATGGCCTAATTTCCTTGAGTGTTGAACACACAGCTGCTCAGCCTGCCTTTGTCAGGAACAGAGGGATGCAAGGCTCTTGGGAAAAAAGGAATGAAGGAAGGGAGAAGTCAGGCCACTTGAGGTGGAATTAAATAGGTGGCTTGGAGTCAGTACTTTCAAAAATGATTCCCATCCTTTTACATCAGTTTCAAGCCTCCTGCCCAACACATTCAGTACTGAAAAGCAAATCACACCTGTGTACATGAATGCAGGAATTTACCTTTCGATTCCAGTTAAAAGCATTTCACAGTCATACAGAAAAATATTAACTGTAGGAATATTAACACCAGAGGGTATGAGCAGATAAAGTCAGACCTTAGTGCCACAGTGTGAGCTGAGTCCTGGACAGGTCAGGCTTTTCATGGCACAGAATCCTGGTTTTAGGGACACAGGGTGTGTTTCCCAAGCCCTGTTCCAGCCCCCTTGGCTGGGATGGAGTCACAGTCCAAACCTGGGCACTTTGAACAGGGCATTTCCAAAGGACTTTCCTGCAATGGGATTTGACAACCCTTACAATACTGTCCTGAATTCCAGCCATCTGATTATCCCAGGGTATGTGGGTAATTTACATACTAATAACAAAACTGTTCTGAAACATTAAATTACACAAAGTGAGATTCCCACAACTTAGATCACCTTCACCAGCATCAGGCTCAAGAGTCTCCTCATATCAACCTTGGCTTCCCTTATAAACAAAAAGCCTTCTAAGAACCTTTCCAAGGCTTTATTGGATTACAATGAGGATAATTATAGAACTGAGATGAACCCAGTGGCTCTCCTGTAATGGAACACAGCCAGTTCCAGCTACTTGAATGGCAGCAGGACTTGGCAGGGCCCCACAGATGTTCTTCCATGGGGTTTGTGCCTATTCCAAGGGATGAGGGAAGTGCTCCCCGGTCCCAGGTACCCTCATGGGCAGGGTGGGAGAACCCAGTGCTCAAAGGAGGCCTGAGGAGTGAACAGTGTTTGCAAACCAGCAGAAGGATCTCTGAAGAAAACGTTTGCCCTGAAAGTTTTGGGATAGGGGAGGACTTTGGGGTTTCTTAGTTTGCAAAAGACCATTTGGCTGCACAAGTAACGAGGGCAAAGAGGAGCAAAACAAGAGGTGTTCTTAGGAGAGGGCACCCACCCAGGAACTGTAAATGTGTCACCTGGGAGCTCTGCCACCTTCAGCCCTGGCACAGGGAGATCCTGAGGAGCTGGGAAATCCCATCCCAGAGCAGTGCACGGGACTGCTGGTTTGGGAAGGAGAGAAAAGGTGACATGGAACGTCTTTGACAATTAAAACTGTGCTGAGAGCAATGTCACAGCACATCAGTGGTGGGAGGAACCCCATGGCACAGCACTGTTGTGTCTTAGGTGTGTCCTGCACCCATTTTGGAAGAAGCTCCAAATAATCACAACTCTGAAGGCCATTTTTATGCAAAGCAGAGCTCTAAAACTTGTTTAAAAAATATCCACATAAACAGCACTGAAGGTCATCTGTCTCTGCTTTGGGAATGAGGGAAGAAGGGGAGGAAAAGATCAAAATGGCTACCTGAATGGAATTATAAAATCCCACCATTTGGAGCTGTTCCAAAGTGCTTCTTTCCCACTGTTTTGGTGGGAAAGAGCAAAGAAGAAATGTTAAAGGCAGGAGGAGAATATACAAACAGTTACAGAAAATACACATTATCATTCAGTTGCTGCAAGGGACACAGATTCCAGGCAGCAGGAATGCTGCAGAACAAACCATCTCCATAACCAGCAGCTTCCAGCAGCAGCTCTTTCCAATGTAGACAAAGCAGCAAATTTAATAACTTTTTTAATCCCTCTGTTTTTCTCTTACTTGTACTTAGTTGGAAACGTAGAAAACAACAGGTATTTCAGCTGATGCCTTAAGTTCCTTCACTGTCCATGTGCCAGGACTCTGTGGCTTTCCCTAATCCAAGTTTTTTGGTGGCATGAAAGGAGTGTAATGTCTGAAATAGCTGCAGTTCACCACAGCCTCCTCCAGCACTAAGTTCACCCCTCAGTGCAGAATTTGGTGCCACCCGCTAAGAAGCAAATTCAAGACATGAAGAAAACATTATGAAATTCTCCTCCTTTTACAAATCCTAGTGAGGTTGCATCGTTAAGACAGAGGGCCAGAACCCGAGTGGGTGTTAGTCCTGCTAAAATTCAGCAAAAAAATAACAAAAAATTGCCAAATGCCCTTAAATTACAAAGAAAAGAGAGAGGCATTTGAAAAGATGGAATCAAACTAGTCAGAGTGATCCTGCTCATTTCTAGGCTTTCAGGGAGGAGAGGAGAGTAGGAGTAGGAAGGAGTTTGTCCCGGACTCCGTGTACCATTTCCAGAACAGCATTTGGCATCTCTTGCTCATATGTCAAATCCGTGCCTGCACAGTGGGCAGATACAGCTCCTGGTTAATTTTTTATTAGAAGAATTTAATGCTGACTTAACAAAAGTGATAAATAGCTCATCTGTTTCCAGGGCAAATCCTGAGCATAGCAATAGGGAAGCACTGTGGAGCTGCTGCAATCCTGCCATGCCTGAAGCTCTTAGACCTCTGCAAGCTGTTGCATTCACATCCAAGAGCAAAAATCCCTTGTGGGACAAATTTCCAAAAGGTCAGTGGTGTAATGACCATGGCTGGCTTTCACAACCAGAAAAAGTTGCTCAGTCTTTCAGAACACCAACTTTTATTTTAGAGACAATTATCACACTCTTACTGGGTTTCACAAAAAGCTTCTCTGTTATTTCCCACAATGGTCACCCTTCACTACCTGGGTCTAAGTCAGATTTCAGAATAGATTTTTTAAAAATGAGGTAGACAGAAGGAGAAACAAAAACCTGCAGTTGCTGAATTATGGGATATATAGTGGCATTCACAGCCATTACAGGAATGTTGTGCTTTATGATCCGTATGATTTACTGGGAGAATCAGGCAAGATTCATAACACTTTGCAATTCACTTGCCAATATCTTCCTCAGGCTTTGGCTTTAAGGTGCTGCTGGAAACTACAGTGTGACAAACAATGAAAGTTGGCCCCACTGATCATGTATTTGGCATGATATTGAGACAGCAGATACCACATCTCAAATCCTCTGCACTTGAGAGACAGGAGCTCAAATAGACAGTTCTGTTTAAGTGGTTTTTCAGCTTCTGTTCTCTCCTGAGAGGAGATACTTACCCAAGGCCTGAGGATATGCTGAAGAGCCTCAAAGGATTAGGAAGAGATCATTAACACATTACATATAAAATGATCACGACCCCCTCCTCTTGAACCTGACACTGACTTTGTACTGTCTATATTTTGCAAATTCTACAGACAAATCTCATCCTGCTGAGAACTCATAGGCCTCCCTCCCTAATCTCCAGGAGACATTGTGCCTCCAAAGCTCCTGCCTTGTTGGGGTCAGCAGTGGTGCCAGTGACAGCTCCATAAAACACCTCCTGGAGCTCCCCAGCCCCACGGAGTCCTCGGGCCTGGCTGCAGATGGGGGAGGGTTGCCATATGCCAATGCAGTAGCGATTTTTGACTCACAGTCAAAAGCATCCAAAAAAAGTCAGTGTGCAGGATTTTCTGCCATATGGAGGAATTGTGATTTGGCCTTTTCTCCAGCTGTATCTCATTAAGCAAAAAGGAAAGAAGAAGGGGAGGATGGTCTTTTCTTCTGTGCAAATCTCGCCCCAGAGTTCATCTTCCTCTGAGAGACAGTTCTTTGCTGGTACCTGGAAAACCAAGTCAGAGCAGAAGGAGGCTGTAAGAACCCAGGGGACCGAGGATGTGTTCTGTCCAATTCAACAGGTTTACTTCAGGTCTTTTACACTTTGAACATGAACTTCCCTGGGAAGAGGGAAAAGTGCTACAGAGAGCCAGGACTAGTTCTACAGGGCTGAGAAAGACCAGAGCAGAAGAAGAACCTCCTGCTCCCTGCAGTCTGCACTGGTGCACTACAGTAAAGGATGTTATTTCCTCCAGGCACTGCAGCATTTTGCAGATGTCACTACCAGCATTTCCCTGGCCCTTGTGAGCTCTGGGGTCTGTTTTGCTTGATATGGGAGGTTTATTCAGTCTGAGACTTTGCTGGGATTTTGCCTTTATCTTTTTTATCAAAAGTAACGTGGCATTACCACAACACAGATACTGGTGGTTCAGATCCCATACCATGGCTGGTGTCCACACGGGAAAGCCACCAGCTATGAGTCTAGAAGTTATATAGACATACAGACACCTCAGGGCCTTTCTGCTTCTCTCCGATCTCCCTCGATGTACAGAGATGTCAGGAGGAAAAAGGCTCCTCCAAAGGCCCCCACGAAGGCACAGATGGCAAAGCTGCTCTGGATGCTCCGGAAGCTGCTCTGGAAGGACGGAGCACCCCGGGCCTGCAGGGCGTTGGAGATCTGGGGAGGGAACAAGGCTGCATTAATCGGGATAACACCCCTTCCTCCCGTGGTTTAACAGCCTGGTCACAGTGTGGCCCTGGGAAGGATCAGACAGGCACACCAGGATGAGAGGCTGCTGCCTGGGTTTGCCAAGCACACCTGTACTGCCCTGCTCTCCAGCTTCCACTGCTCGAGGAATCTCATGTTCTTCATCCCTTCAGTGCCCCCACTCACAGGAGTGGGAAATACATTTTACCATTTCCTAGCCCATCTCCAGACAGCCAGCACAGCACAGGCATTTGGGAATGACCTTTAGCATTTCTTGGTGCTGTTCAATAACTTTATACCTCCCTGACTGGACAGAAACAGGGGGTTAACAGCAATACAGGCACAAGCAGCAACACTCATTAGAAAGGGAAGAGCTGGAGATTAATTACAGATAAGAGTGGGGGCTGCTTTTGAGCCAAAAGGCATTTGAGGAGCCATGGAGTGACACAGTGAGGAACTGGGAGAAGAAGATACCAGGCAGCTGCTTTTTGCACTGGTGGGAGGATGAAGTTGTAAAGGTTATGAATGATACACATGAATTTTATTTTTGCAGACAGAAAGAAAAGCTGATTTCAAGAAACTCAATAAGATTCAACACTCAAGGAACTTGAGATCTCTTCTTAGCATAAACAAAAAGATAAATGTTAAAAGCAGTCATTTTTATTTCCACATTTGTTCTCAATAGTTAGAATGCACCGTGTGATTTGAAATGCACAAATATGAGGCTCTTCAACCTTTGCTGGGTTTTATATGATTATTTATGACACTTTAGGCAGATAAGAGCAAGATAAACTCTAAATGGGCACCTAGAGACTACAGCAAGCATCATGGCCACAATACAAACCTAATGCATTTAATGTTAAGATGCTTAGTGAAAAATTTCTGGAGCGTAGAGGGAAGAAAAACAGACTCTGAAAAAGACTATTCCCTGATTATTCAGCCAGATTTTAAGCTAAAGGGTTGGCTGAAGCAGGTTATAAAACAACAGCAGAATGTGAAAGCAGATTCAGTGTTTAACCAGCAGCAGTCCCGGGCAGTGTTGGTGTTTGGGCTCACAGAAGCATTCCAGAAGAAATGAGGTGCTCGTTGCACACCATCCCACCTGGACACAGAGCACTTTTATTCCTGGGTTTGTTTCTCTGTTCTGTATGAAGTTGCAAGGTTACCTGAGGTTAATCTCATCTGGATAAGCTTTATTTGCCTTTCACACTCCTGGGTGAGCTGTTGTTTAAGGTGCCTGTCTGCAGGTCCTGCACAGGGTGACACAGCACCGCCAGCACGAGGCCGCAGAGGACACGTGGGGGGATAGAGGCACAAACAGCTTCACCTTTCAGGCAGGAAGCTTAAACAATTGGTCAAAGGAGAAGGCACAAGAGGTATTTCAGCTTTTGGGGTTCCTCCCGTTGCTGCATCCCATGTCAGCCATTGTCCCTGACACAGGGGTGTTGGGTGTTCTGTTCCCACACACAAACAGCTGGATTAGTGGGAGGGCAGGGCTTTCCTAAGACACAGGAATGAGCAAAGTGGTCTCTTCATTTGCCAAAAAAAGAGGCTGAGCAGGAGGAGTCCCTCAGTGAGAGAGGGTGTCTTCTCTGCCAGACAGATTACACAGCTGAAACTCTGGGTTTCACCCAATTGAGGACAAGGGGAAGCTCGTGTGTGGCTGGAGCAGCAGCTGTGCCTGTAGGAACAGCTCACTGGGGCATTGCTGGCCCTGTCTAACCCTGCCACTGTTAACAGGGGACAAAGCGCCAACAGAGAGTCCTGAGGTGAACTTTAAATAAACTCTCATACAAAGAAAACTTTAAAGAAACAACAAGGACTCACTCTCTCTCCCATGTCCAGTAGAGCAGAAAAATCAAAGTGGGTGATTGGTGTGTGCAGAGCTGCTGTGTCCTAAATCACAAAGAATGAGGGAAGGAAATGACACTGACAGGTACAATCCACTGGAACTGAAACTAATGAACTGCACAGAGAAAACAGGACTTGGCTGCTTTGTCCAGAAGCACCTCAGATCAGGTAAATGTAGGCAGGGCAGAGAAATCAGGTCTCAAGGAATATGAAAGTCAAGGTTAAGGTGCTTTGAGACCAGAGCTTTAAAGGCCAAGTAGTATCTAATGGCAAAATTGCATCACTTTTGTTCTGATTTCCAAGAGACCAATAACTCTGAGATTTTGAGTCTTGGCTTTTAAATGCATTTGATTAATTTCCATGAAACTCCTCACAAGAGCAGAAAGTGCTTAAATCCAAGTACAATACCCATGACATTGTGTTTTGCAAAAACGTGTACCTTGAAAAATATGTGAGTTTTCACATTTCAAATCAAAATAGATTTCTACACACTGCACGGATAGGATTATATTCTATATAGGATTATATTCTACCCACCTGCAGTGTCACAGGATCAGGGGTTTCATGCAGGTAAAAAATAATGTCTGTGTTCTAGAACCAGTATGAGCAATATAAGTAATTTGTAGTTTTGGACCAGGTAGTGCCTACAGTTCTGTGAGTGTGTTTCAGTTTGTGGCAGTTTTCCCCTAAGGAAGGCTCCAGAAGCAGGGAGTTCACTTACAGCCCCGATGAGGTACGGGCTGCCTGCATCCCCCAGCAGGTGGCTCAGCAGGATCTGCAGGGCGATGGCCGTGGACTGGCGCCTCGGGGTCACCACGTACTGCAACAAAACAGCACCAGAGAGAGCCTCAGCAGTGGCAGCTGCTTCTGGGACGTCCCAGAGACATTGAGGCATTAACTTTTCTATTTTATATTACAAGTTTGGAGACACAGAAGTTCTTCTGGGCAAAAGAGTACATTGCATGTTTTGTTGAGGGAAAAAAACATTCGGGGAAGGAAGACACGGGAGGGAACAACAACAAAGTAACTAAACCAGGACTCCCCTTACTACACAGATTCATTTGGCCATGCAACTATCAGAAGCCTCCAGCCAAGTATTCCTTGCAGTCATAATGATTTGCTAATAAGGATATTGAGTACTGACAGCTCGTGGGAGAAGTCTCTTGTGACCTGTGTCAGCAGGCCTGGTCTGGAGTGCTGGGGGGACTCTGGGGGACCTGGAGCCCGAAGGAGCTGCTGTGGCTGTACAGGGTGTCAGCTGGGACCTCACAGACCACAGGTCTCACCCAACCTGTGAGACCAGAAGGTGGCTGGTGGTGCTGTGATGGCACTGCCTGTAACTGGGTATCACCTGAGATCACTGGGTATCAACACCTCCAAATGATTTTGCTTGTGAGTGCACACAGTTTAAATAGCAAGTTGGAGACTTGTGCACATCCAGGACACAGCAAAGCATCACAGAGATTAGAACCATTTTGTCAAATAAAATATAGTAATTTGGGGGTAATAAGGGCTTTGTGCCTGTGCTACTGAAGATCAACTGTGCCTGAAGAAGTACAGCATGATTCCATATAATTTGTGTCTCTTTCAATAATGCATTTACACAAAATGCATTCACAGTCAGAATGAGACAGAAGCAATTTCAAACCTTCATACCTTTGTTTCCCAACCACTTGCTCATAGCAGAGAAAAAATGCTTAATATTCTCCCAGTCCTCCATCCCACAACTTGTTTTTGTTTTGAACGTGATCTAAACATCTCTAAGTGTGTCTCAAACACAAATTAACAGGGTGATTGGTGTTTTATCAGGAGACAAACTCAAGGTATATAACCTATATACTGGCCCTGTAGCTGCCTTCAAGGAAACATTAACATGATGGGTAAATTGGGTTTAAAATTAAGAAAAGATCCTGCTCTCACATTTAATTTAGAGTTTCGGTCCCGCTTATTCCATATTGCAGCCAGTTTCAGTAAAGAACCAGGAACACTGGCAGTGCCCCTCTTAGCCAAAAATGGCCTCAACCTTGGTTACATAAATCACTCCTAACCAGCCCCTCTGCACCCAGTAGGAGAGCTCTGTACAGTGCAGCTGGATTGGAAGGCACAACCTCCTTCCTTCCTTTGGGCACATGCAGCTCCCTTGTATCCATCCCTGTTCCCAGTCCCTCCAAAGTAGACATTTCTAACCATGGATGGAACATTTATTTTTCATTGGGAATATTTAGATAGAGTGCTTCAACGATAATAAATATTAAACCAGGGATGTGTTGGACATCTCTTCAGAGTTACAGAAAACCTCTCTGATGCCATGTTGCCATGACACTGCACCCAGTCCTGGGCCAGCAAGAGCAGAGTCATGTGAGATTGGCTGCTCTGAAACCCCTGTCACCCATGGGATGAAGGAACAGTCCCCCAGCTCCTCCTCACTGAGGCCATGGCACACTCTGGCCTAACTGAGGGTGTGCAGTCTCCTCATGCTTTGTTTTCTCTTGGAACACTCCTGGAGTACCAGATGAGCATCTGCATTTTGGGAACAGGCTCTTGTGCAGAGAGAGATAAAGGAACTACAGTAGAAAACTCTGAGCTTGGGAAGCTCAGACAGACCTGGCTCTGACAGACTGTACAGCACTGGAGACTTTTAGGTCTTGGTTCTCCAAGGATATCATGTCATCTGTCCTACACTCAGATTTCTTTTACAGGCTGTGTTTGAGAAATGAAAATCAGACATTGTTATGCACTTACTGTATCGTGGGCATTGCAAGCACGAGAGAAGCTAAATGGGCTCTGTCTCTCCCAGTGCCCTGCACCACCTCCTTACCACATTTCTTTAATATCCCATATCTCTAACTACAACAGACAGGTGGAATAAAGCTGTAACAAGAAAAATAGAAGGAAGGGATGTTTCCTATAGTTTAGAGGGTCATACAAACTCTGCCTGTGCTGTCACTCACGTTCTGCTGCGCAATGGAAACCAAGAGCTCCAGGCACTGTGGGATTCACTGGGAAAAGAAGAAACAAAAGATGCCCCCACAGAGGGACTCTGAAGTAGCCACAGCCTCCTACCCAGCCACAGGGACTGCCCAGGGCCCCACCCCCTGGCAGTGATGCTGGTGACATCCTGCAGCCCCCCTCTCCCAGGAGATCCCAGCCCAGAGGCCTGGACAGGGAAGCCCCAGACAGGTACAGTTTGCAAAGCCTGTGGTGCTGTGTCTGGGGGTTCCAGAGACCCTCCTGCACACGCTGTCACAGAGCTGTCAGCTGAAAGAGCAGATGGAACACAGGCTGGGGAACACTCCTGCACCTCCCAGGGCACTTCCAAAGGCAGGAATGTGTTGGTTGCCTTCCAAAGGCCCACACAGGCTTCCAGCTCCAGCATCTCCTGTGCTATTAGCTGCCACAACCCTAAAAGACAGTGTCCTGTCACCTCACAGAGGACAAACATGTTTCATAAGGGACATTCCAGGTAGAGCCTCCCAGTAAAGCAGCAGGGCAGCTCCAGCCCCTCTCCACGTGCACATTAGCACTGGAGTTGTACAGCTGAGATTTCTGTGTTTACACTGAGCAGGAGGACAGAGGTGGCTCCATGCACTGCATCCTGATGCACAGCCACAAAGCAAGAAAGTCCTTATCATTCAGCCAGCATCTCCCTTTGTCTTCACCTCCACAGGTCGCAGGATAAATGAATTTCTAGCTACATAGTCTGGCTAGTAGTGCCATGTGGGAAGAAAGAAAAGTCATTTTCGTGGCAAAATAAGAACATGCATTAGCAAATCCAGCTACATTGTCAGAACTCCTACCAGTTCATGTGGGAAACAAGGCAAAAAGAGGAATTACTGCTGTTATCCGTGGCACCCTTCAGTCACTGCAACAGCAGAAATACACCAAACCTGTGGGGTTCCAGCAGGACAAAACCCAACTCCTGGATAAAATTGCCACTAAATGAGCAGATACCCACAAATTCAGCTCAATTCCATCATTTCTCTGATAAAATGATTAATATTTAGAATTCAAGAGATCCAACCCAAAGCACATTCCTGGTAATCCACTGAATGTCTGCTCCCAGGGGGACACACCACCACAGAGCTCAGCCAAACTTGTCACCTCCCCACTTGTTGCCAATCGATGCAACGTTGCTGGTACCTAAACCCAAAATATTCTAAAGTAAATGCAGTGAGGGGTGTTGGTCACCTGGGAGACAAGAATCTCCTTCTCTTCTGGATTTAAATGGATCCAGGATATGCAGTGGCACTCCCCACAGACTTCCTGCAGGCTGGGATGTGATGCAGCATTCCCTGAGCAAACTGAGACTGGAATGATGGAACTGAACCAAAGCCCAGCTCCTTCCAGGATTTGCAGTTTGGGTTCAGGAAGGAATTGAAGGAATGAGCTGACAGTAACCATCTGCCTCACTTTCCTCATCATACATCACCAGTACCTCACTCAGTGTCACCTGCCTCTTTAACAGTGACAGAGGACAGAATTAAAATGCAGATGGAGGAGTTCAGAGAAAAGTAAATTGAGAAACTTAAAAAAATCCCTCAGTGGTGCCTCAACTGATGTAAAAAGAATGGTAATTGTAATAATACTTGGTTCTGATACAAAACCCCAGTGATTTCAAAATAAACTGAAACAGAAGCTAATAAAAGTTGTCAGTTTGGAGCAGTGATAGTTTTTCTGCACCTGTTCTCTGCTGCAAGGCTCCAGCTCTTTTCTCATAGGATAATTGTTTCTGACCATTCTGTGAGAGTCAAAGAAGAAGCAAAACCCTTTTGCTGCTGGCTGAGACTTTAAGCAGGCAGCCATTTCCCTAATGCTGACTGCATTAGTTATTCTTTAATGAAAATTCCAGAGTGCAGAAAACTGACACGGAGGGAGCAGCACCAGGAAAGAGAACATAATGCACAGTCAGTGTTGGCAGGGCTTTGCTAGAGACCCATGAAAGGTAAGGAGTTCCTTTCCTTCATCTCAATCAGAATGTAAAGAAAGGCTCTTCAACTATATAATATGTGGATAAACAGGCTCATGTCAAGGCAAGGTCACAGCAGTGGAAGGAGAGTTCTGTGGTGCTTCACAGCTGGGCCCTTTGGTCACTGCACAGGGCTCAGCATTTGGCGATTCTGTCACATCCTTTCACACAGAACACTGTAATAGAGATATTTTTATCTCTGCTCAGCTGTTTAGTTAGGTGGAAGAGATACTAAGCAAATTGTATCTGAGCAACTCAGACCATGGTGCCATCACTCCTTGGTGGAATCTTTGGGTTCCTCACAAGCTCATAGGCACCTGTGCTCCAGGGGAGGCACAGCCTGCAAGGTTCCTTTGCTGTCCTAAACTCTTGGGAACTGCTGCTGTGTTGTGCTACACATGAATGCATTCACTGTGGTTCTTAAATGAAAGATTTATTATGACAGCAGGGTTTGCAGCAGCAACCTGCAAATAGGTTTGAGCTCCCTCAGAATGAAACACTTTGACATCAAACGGGGAACACGGGACTCTTGCTTGGGAAGAAACAGTCAGAGATGTCTGTTCTGCTGTGCCCTTGGCTTGGTGCTTTCTCTCACTTGTCCTGGTGGCTTCACACCATTTCCCCACTTTCAGTACCTGCTGCAGCAGCCTTTTGCCTGTACCACACTTCAATCCCACATCAATCCCTGTCTCTCAGGGAGCTTCCTGCTTGGAACGTTTGGGTTACAGTCACACCCACCAGCACAGGGGTCCCAAAGTGGCGAGGATGGGTCTCTTGTGTGACCCAGCACTCCACCCTTTGTAGAAAAGGATTGTGTCAATTGAAATGCCCATAGGGAGCAAAAGAAGAACTGTCAATCATTTAATTAAGTCTGGCTCTGGTACTTAAATCAGTTTTCTGCAGTCTCATTACTAGAAGTGAACAAGGTAGATCATTTCCTTGCCTATTTGACTAATTGACAGTATTCAACTTGTTCATACTATGCATTTAATTAAAAAGTCATATAAACTACTCGATAAGACTGTGATAATCTCTCTAATTCAGTGTTAATAACAACATCTGTCCCAGGTTTTACACAGACACTGATCAGTTACTGTGGAGCTACAGCATAAATGAAAGATTGCCAAATTTTTCCTTTGAGTAAAAACTCAAGTGTGTTAAAAAATTACTAACTAAAAACCTTTGAAATGATAAAAAACCCAAGCTGCTCATTGAAACCTAGACTAACAGTGCCACAGGATGTGTGCTTCCTAAAGAAATTCTGATGGCAGAATCCAAATGAAATCATGCACTGCCCTTCCTTGGGCTTGTGGTGTCAGCCCTGGGATCCCCGAGATCCTCGTGACCATCACTGCTGGCCTGGCCCTTTGGCACCATAGCACCACTCAGGAATTGGACTTGCTGGAATTCATCTGCACTGTATTCTGGATTAAAACAACTTGTTCATAGTTCACAGACTGTTGACTTTCCCTCATTTGGATCATGTTTTTAAACCTTTGGAGCACAAATAGAAAACCTGATTATAGACACAAAATGACCTGTTTCTGGTGCAGACCATTTTCTGGCAGACACCCAACAACACAGAGCTGTACAGAAACCCAAACTGCTCTGGGAACAGGCAGCACTAGAGAGTTCCATGTGCAGGAGCTCCATCCAAGCCAGGACATCTCCTTTCTAGGCTCACAATAACTTGGATGACTGCACCACCACACCTCTATTGCCAGTGGCATCATTGCCCAGCAGTGATTCCATCCCCAGTGTGAGCAGGGTACCAATAAGGGGATTGTTGATAGGAGTTCATTCATTTCTTCCCAGAAAGCCACCAAGATGCAGCCTTAGGAACAACATTATGTCGAGAAAAAACTTGAAATAAGGAAGTAGATGCCTGAGCACTTACCAGCAGTATGTCTGTCACAACAGCCCAGTTCACAGATAAAAACAGTTCTCCAAATGCAATAAAAATCTGCAGGAGAGAAGAAAGCAGTGACTGTCCACAGTGCATGGTCCTTCTTTGGTGTAAGGATGAAGGCAGGCTCACTGACTGTGCCTGTGGGAGAGCTGTCCTACACACCCATTTATTTATAAATTGAACATCTCTGTCTGTGCTTACAAACACTAATTGCATCTTAAAAGTGGGGAAAGGAACCAGAGAAGGTGTGTGGGGTTTGTGTCACAAATCCTCAGCAGAAGAGTCAAAATAGGAAACACACCCCCCTCTCCTGATGAACTGCTGAACCCAGGAAGAGGAAAGCAAGACCCTGGGAAGAGAAACTTTCAGCACAGGTTTGAAAAATTATCAAAGATGTCCCTTTGCAAATGAAGCACCTCTGTGCTAATACAAGTAATCTTAAAGGCTCTTTCAGAGAGAGAACTTCCAAAATGGAATGGACTCCAAGGAACAGGCAGCCTCGAAGCCTTGGTGCCCTGTGGGAATTCCCTAATCCATCACAGATGGAGACCCAGCCATCAGGAAAAGGGGTAGGGCCCCCAACAGTTCTTACAGTTGTGGTCTCAGAGAATATTAACCCTCTCAGCCAGCCCTGGACACAGATTGGAGCAGCCTGCCCAGGCTAAGTGAGGCTTTAGGAGAGCAGTAAAGCTACACTGTCAAGGTGGAGCAGTGCTAGAAGGCAGAGTCTATTTAGGACACAGGCCACAAAGTCAGATGGCACCTGGGAAATAAAATCCATGGTTACAACAGGCCTCCTGCTCAGTAAGGCCTTGGTCAAGATGTTTTAGCTGGTCTAGGAAAGGCACAGTGGCAAATGCCCAGATGTTTTTGGAGGGGTGGCTGATGTTCTCCTAAGGAGAACCAGACCTGTTGCACATCTTCCTGCCTCCTCTGTGGTTCTGGTCTGTTCTGCTCATGTGTTTTCTTCTTCAAACCAGTTTGGACAAAAAGTTCCTTGAAGAACTGAGATACTTAATATAGACCATTATCCAGATATCTTTCTCTTCACAACACTTTATACAGGTTTCCTAATTTGCAGCTGAATCCATTCCCTCACACATAGTTGCTTTTCCTTAAGTTGTAACAAATATCAGTCATTTCACATACTCCTTGAATATGTGTTAGTCTTGGATTTATGCATCCTACTGTCCAAGTCTGCCCACTGACACAACCTTGGCAGGCTTTGCCCTCACAAGAGATAGAGTGCAACTGTTGTTCTCCAGTTCAGGACTGTTGCAATATCACTGCTCCAGCCTTAGCTGGAAAGCAAGTGAAACATCTACATGTGGTTGTTAACATGGGGAGCAAAATCACACAGCTCAGCTTTTTACCAAGACACTTGGCAATAAGGACTGGCTGTGAAATCTTGCACTCCCCAGAAAATATTAGCCCTTCATGCCTTTATTTCAAGGTAAAATTCTCTGAAGTAGATCTGTTGGAAGATCCAAATTCATCAAGCAATAGTGGTATGAACTTACCTAACTTCTGTCAGTGGTGCCATGGGTAGCAAGAGATAGTGCAGGTTAAAGGGAAATAGGAAGGAGATAAAGAGCAAAGAGATTTATTTAGATCCTGGCTGATACTTTAAATATAACAAGATGCAAATCCAACAGTTAGAGCAGAAGGTTCTGAAGGCTTCCAAACTGTTCCTAGATATCACCAATGGAATAGATGACTCCCTGCCTTCATACATCAAATGAGAGACTGATCTATCTCCCTTATAGGAATCTTGTGATGTTTAGCACTTCTAAAGTGCAATTTCCAGTTTTTCTTTCTCTTCATGCTTTTTCCAAGTTATTTAGTCTGTACAAGCCCTCAGAACAAGAGCATGTCATGGCCAGTGCAAGAAAAGTAGAATTCATCTTTAGGAAATGAGTTATGCTGTCAACCTGGAGATCAAAGGACTGGAAATAAATGAAAAACTAACCTTGATAAGAAAATGTGATATTCAGTGGCTAAGTCCTCATACTCCACAGAGTAATAAATTCAAACAGAATTGTCTTAATGTTAGAGACAGAACTCTGTTAGATTTTCTTGTCTTTCCTGAGGTCTTGTGTGGATTGCAGATGTAGGGTCACCTCCTCACCTCCTGGGGTTCAGCCATGACTTTCCCAAGCACCTGCACTGCAGTGAGCACAGGGCTTTCAGCTGCTTTTGGAGACAGAGCAGATGGAGACAGAGCCTCTCTGAAGTCAAGAGCTGGGGATCCAGAGGGAGGAGAGCAATCTCACAGCATTTCAGCCCATCTACCCCAACAGAAACCCTGGAACTCAGCCTTGCCATAGTCCCACATTAACTTGAGAATTCTTGTGCTTTGAAACATTTCTGCCAGTTTTGGCCACAGCCTTGTTCCCCTTCATGATCCCCCCCAGTGCCCTACAGACACCTCTGTCATTGCTTGTATCCTTTCTTGCTGCAGGGGCTCCCACATGGTGAAGCAGAGACAGGTTGTGCCTGTGCCTGAGAGACAGGGTCTGGAAAACCATTTCCTGCTCCTGTCCTGCACAAATGGAAGATCTGGTTCAGTGGGGCCTTCAGATTAGAAGCAGCAGCTGCCAGGGCACTGCAGTTCTGCCAGCAGTGAGCCTGCTGCCACCCTCGTTAGGAAGGCACAGAGAGGCAGGGCTGGGCCAGAGGAGGGGATGCTCAGGCAGTGCAACAAGTACCAGGGGAATCAGGTGCTGACACAACCTACAATTTATTCCCCCTGCCCAGTGCTGGAAGACCTGCATAGAGCACATCAAACAAAAGACAAAATGGCAAAGCCTGTTATTAAAAAACTACCTGGTCTGCCCTTTGGAAGAAACTTAAAGAACACAGTTATCCATAGCCCAGTTTGGAATTTCCTCCTGGATAACACCCTGCTGGAAGACACAGTGCTGTTTGTGAGGAGAGAAACATTTAAACTTTCATCAGGCCTTATAGAGCTCCTTTATCAGGAACTGTAGGGACAGGACAAGGGGGAATGGCTTCACACTGACATAGAGTAGGTTTAGATGGGATATTGGGAAGGAATTCTTCCCTGTGAGGGTGGTGAGGCCCTGGCACAGGTTGCCCAGAGAAGCTGTGGCTGCCCCATCCCTGGAAGTGTCCAAGGCCAGGTTGGAGAGAGCTTGGAGCAACCTGGGCTAGTGGAAGGTGTCCCTGCCCATGGCAGGGGGGTAGAGTGAGATGATCTTTAAGGTCCCTCCCAACCCAAAGCATTCTGGGATTCTTCAATTCTAATAAAAGGTATATTTTGGTAATTCAAACCCAGTATGTTGGTTCACTCATCGAACACAGACTGGCAAATGAAACTGTTGTCCTCCAGATTTAATGACAAAAAAAGAGAACAAACTAAGGGTGGGGCTATGTGGGAACCTGAGAGACAGAAAAAGAAAAGGGCTAATACTTTGGCACTCAGATCTCCACTCCTGAATCCAAAAATAATCTTCAGTTTCACATTTTGCTTTGTGTACACACACTCAGACATGCAAATCCACTTGTTTTTCTTTTGGTGTAAAGGTGTTTTTCCACAGGAATACCCATTCCTGAGGAGTCAAAAGGAAAACCTCTTTGAACAAGTGTTATTCTTAGAAGCAAAAAACCTGCAAAAGCACCCTTTTGCAGAGAACTGTTGATTACTGTAATTAACTTTACTTGGATCCTCTTATTTATGTTAATCATGGTGATTTTGGCTGTGGAGTCACAGGAAAAAACCTTGGAGTCTTTCCCTAGCTGTTACCAGATTATAGTTGAAATAAGGTTTACATTCAGTTCCCTCTCACAGGGAGTTTTTGGAACTATTCATCATTCCTGGTAGGTTTCTGTTTTTCCCTTTGCTAAGAACAGAATTTAAGTGATTTATACTTCAGTTTGCTTTGCCAAAAGCTTGACTTTGAAGATCAGCTGGTGATCTGGGACTTTGAAGATGATGGCTCAATTATTCTTAGCAAGAACTCTGTGTATTGTACAGCCCCAACTACACCAATCTTTAAGGATTCAGAAAGCAAAAATAAATAAGAATACTAAATTAGCTGCATAGCATTAATAATTAACATAAGATTGAGACTTGCTTTGACTACATTTTTGGAGAAGGGACAAGCTTCATGCAGCTAGTTACACAGGCTTACTGTTCTCTTCTTCAGTGCACTCTGCAGGTCCTGAGGCCCAGTTTGCAGTGCTCTGCCTGCCCTTTGTCCTGGAACAAGGAAAGCCCAACGTGGATCCCACTGGACAGGCCACAGGCAGCATTGGAGCACCACTCCCAGTTCTTACCTGGTCACTTTATAAGTCATTGAAACCTCCTAATGGTCTAAAGGACTGCAGAGAATTCTGCAAGAGCCACCCCTTGCCTCCTCCTCCTCCCCCTTCCCATTCTCCCCAGGACACCAAGGGACATGTTGCTGATTGTCACTTACAAAGGTGGAAAGGATGCTGGTCTGGGCCAGCATGAGAGCTGTGTAGAGGCACAGGGCAGAGCTGAACATGCTGGTGGCACAGATCAGAGGATCAGCTTTATTGTACATCTTCCTTAATCTTCTCGCGGCCTCTGCCCCAGCGACGACCCCCACGATTCCTGTCCCGACGGTGATGCCTCCGAAGATTAGGCTGGTGACAAAGCAAAGGATTCAGCTGAGTATGGTGCTGTAGAAAAAGGAATGGTGTTAGCTCATAGCTGTAGTTTCAGAGGAATCTTTAATGGGGAACTTGAATTTCATTCCATTTGATGTAACCCTCCCACTCCTTGTAAATGGATGTGCTGCCAAGCCTCCGTGGAAGATGAGTGTCCTGGGAAGCAGATATTTTCCCATTTCCAGAGCAGGTGTTATGTACCCAGGCTCAAGGAGGACCCTGCCCAGTAGGACCTGGCTTGGACATGCAGTGATGTGGAGGAGACCCAGTCATCTTGGTTACCAATCATGGAACCAATCTTGGTCATCTTGGAACCAATCTACTCAGTCATCCCTGAAACACAGATGGAGTAACTCTGTATCACAATCTGCTGTCTTGGAAGGGATCCTAGCACGTGGAATGATCTACATCTAAATTATAACCCTCTGGTTAGCACAGCTGAGATGAGTCACTTCTCTGACTGTGGGAAACACCTACCACTTCCCAGAGGAGTTCAAAGAATACTGAGTAGTTAACTGTGCCAGGTCCACGGAGCATTTTCTGAATGCAGAATGTCCAGCACCACTCAGCTTTGTGTGTCTGCAAATGCAAATGTGTTCTTCAGGAATCCCAACTTCATGCTTTAAAGGAATGTGTCTGAACAGCTTAGAAGATTCAACTTCCAGAGGGACTTCTGTGTGTGCTTTTCTTTCTGTCCCAAATGAGATCCCAATGACAAAGCAACCAAAGACCAGTGGTGCTGATTGTTTAATGCATCACAGTTCTCCAAAGGCAAACAGGGACAGGACCAATGTATTCTGAGCACAAGTGCTCCTGAATATTTCAGTGTTACATGGTAAGTTCTGTACAATTTCCTGAGCTTTCTCTAACTGCAAAGCAAAGTAACCAGCTGGGATAGGATCTGTTCCTTTAAACTGCAGTGCATCCACTTTTTATTTTCTTTCTGGCTGATTAGGAAGGACTGAATTATTCTACAAGAAAAAAAAAATATTTCTATGCAAGATAACAAACTTTTAGCATATTTGTAGTCTCCCTGCAAGTTCTTCAGAATTCTGATTCATCACTCACTACAGCTTGATAGTGACAGTAGAGATTGTCACTAGGCAGAGTAACTATCTTAGAGATTTGTTCAGGAGAGAAAAGTTCCAAGGTGACATTAGCTGATTGAAGCATTCATGGAATTGTGTTTAGAATATTCATGTGTTGTAAACTGCAGTTGAAATAAACCTGGAGCTGGAATAAAAGAGCAGCCAAAACTAAATCCAAGCACGGTTCAGTTGACTGGGAGTAGGAAAGTACAGAAGCTGAGTCCTGGGGAAAGGCTCCTATGGGATCTTTTAGGGTCTGAAAATGCTCCCTTATCTGTCTGATCTGTTCCAAAGTGTCTACACAAAGACCTGAAAAAAACCCTATTTATCTACCTTGAAAGGACTGAGACCTGAGTCAGCTGTGATGCCTTTGAGTTTGTGTTTCCAGGGAGTCTGTGACACAGCCCTGGTCCTTAAACAAAGCCTGCAACTGCTGAACAGCCAGAGGGGATCCTCAAAGGATCCCTGGGCAGGTCCTGGAATGTGCAGCTCAGTTCCTCCAGCACCATCAGCTACAGGTTTGACACTATTGTTTATATTCTGTTTCTTTACATCCCCCTGGAGTAAGAGTCTAAACCCAGCCTTATCCTGCTTCTGGCACGAGTTTATGCCAAGGTTATTTTTAAAGTATCCTGTAAGAAGCAGGACATGAGGTTAAACTATCAGGAGCTCCATTTCCCTTCCCTGAAGACCATGTCTGCTGTAGCAACACTACTGTGGAATAATAATTCGGAAGTGGATTAGAAAGCAAACCAGAGGGCAACACCTTCAGCTTAACAAAGGAAGTATTTAAACTGTATCTGTGAACAGAAACAGCCAAACAGCTGAAACTGGTCAGTCTCCTCTGCCTACCCCGAGCCAAACTCCTGGGTTCACTCCCTTCTCAGTATTGTTCACTAGTAAGTTATGAGCCACTGGTGGCATCCATGGAAGGACAATTCATTTCCCATCGAAGGATTTGGGGGTGACTCTTCAATCCATCTGGTTACACTACGGCTCAGAAAGCACTTTTGAGCTGGCTGGGTTGTTCCACTGCAGACAAGCAGAAGAACCCTGTTAGCAGAGCACACTCAAGCTGTGATTATTGCTTTTCCTTTAATTGTCTTTACCTGGAAAGCCAGTGTAGGAACCACTTAGTTCTTTGAAATCCATCATGAAGGCAGAGACTGAAACCAGATTTGGGATACCTCCAGAAGAAAGGGACACTTGTATGGAGGCCACTGGTAGGGAGTCCCAGTGCTCACTGTGACTGAGGGCAGCCATGAAGACTCAGGAGGAGCACTGAATGCATTTTTGTATTCTGGATAACACACTGTATTCCAGAGAACACATTTGTTTTCTGATAACACATATGGGAAAATTTTTCCTAGCTGGGGAAAAGTCATTCACAAAAAGTTCTGATTGCTTCAAAGTCTTCTGCTCTTGTAAATTCCTCTTCCCACCCACCATTTGATATTTATTGATGGATCTTCACTGATCTGGATGTGCTCTGTAAGCAGAGCTCTGCTGGCAGGTGCTCACAAGACCAACTGATCCTGATCTGATGCAATGATATGGTACTAGATCAAAATCATCAAGACTTCTTCATGTTGGAAGCCACAATCACCTGGCCAACACAGCAGGGATTTTAAAGCCATACTAATAAGCAGATAATGGGAAAGTCACCAAAACACAGGATTTAAACGTACTTAGATGTGTATTTAAGTAGCTTGGGCTGCACAGTCGTTTGTCAACTGAAATCTCCTTCCTAAAGCTGCTCCTTTTTCCCCCCCCCCCGTGTTCCTGTTACTGCTTCTTCCCAATTTACTAACACAGGGCTGGCAGCATCTTCCCAGTTAACTGAGTGATTATAAGCAAACAAACAAATAGGAGTGTCTCGGCATACCTGGAAGCAGTTTAGTCTAACATTCACACCCCATTGCCTTCACCAGAAGTGTTCAGTCACATCCTGCCTTCCCCCTTTGGAAACAAGCTGGGATTTAGGGCTGTGCAGTGTTTCCAAGGTGGTTCCACAGTCCCAGCTCACCTGTTGGATGAATTGCACGATTCCTGGAGGCAGGGGGGGACAATGCCCTGGACAAGCTGAGCCCTGTAGAGGAACAGTGGTACCCACATTCCCAGGGCTCCAGTGACAAAGGCCATGGCTGTCAGACCCAGTGAGGACCAGACAAAACTACAGCTGAAAGTCAAAAGAAAACAAAGGAGAGATATTAGAAAGAATGGGGTGGAGGGAAAAGGGAAAGCCTACCTGCAATACCCAGGATTTCAGGCAATAACAAAACAATTCATTCAGACATCTTATAATCAAAATCCACTCCCTTGAATATCTGAACTCTGATCAGGCTTTATTATGAAAGTCAACAATAAAGTCCTAATTAGAGCAAAGGCCATGACCTACTGATTTCTTGTTAAATCCTGGGCTCTTGCACATTCCCTTGCCAGCTTCTGCTAAAACAATTGCTGTGGATTTTTTGATAGCAGAAATACAACAATAGAGAGCGGGCAAGAATTTAATGGCTTAGTAGCTGAAGGAAAGTGTTCTATGTGCAAGTCTAAATGCCTCAGGATAGTTTTAAGTCATTTCTGTAACCAGTACAAACGAGAGTAACTTCTGGGTCCTCCAAACTGTGAAGATGCAGTGGCTGAACCCCTCCTTAACTCTGAGTGGGTAAAAATAGACTGTCAGTCTGCACAGCGAGTTTTCAGACAAAAGGAGAAGCATTTTTAAAAACTGTCCAAACCTTTTCTCCTTCCTGCCCTATTCTAGGAGAAAATTTAATTTTTGGTGGTCTCTTTCTAGTTAATAGTTTAGGGAAAAGTCCCCTTTAAGGTCAATAGGGAGGTATTGACCTTAAGGTCAATACAAAACAAAAGTGCTGCAAATGACCAGGTGACTACAGGTTAGAGGATTTGCTAAGAACTGAGCCCAATTCCCCATCTTCTAAAGACAAAGGACTCTTGAATCTGTTTCTTTGGCAATATGACTTTATGCTTTGGAAATCAATTGCTAAAGGAAAAGAAAATTAAAATCTATTTTTACAACATTGCTGCAACATCTTTTTGGAAAGAAACTTCGGTGATAGCCCAGTTGTTGAAATGTCAGGTTCATTTTTGATTCAGGAAAATTCACTTTTTATTCACTTCAGGCTATACTGACTACAAACATTGACCAAACAAACTGGATCTCTGAGGCACTTGCTGTTCTGGATGCAAACGGGATGGAAATCTAATTGTCAGTTAGAGAATGCTGGAGCCTCTGGAAGAAGAACCACAGAATCAGCCGGGTTGGAAAAGACCTCTGAGATCATCAAGTCCAACCCTTGATCCAGCCCCGCTGTGGTTCCCAGCCCATGGCACTGATGCCACATCCAGTCTCACCTTAAACACCTGCAGGGACGGTGACTCCACCCCCTCCCTGGGCAGCCCGTTCCAATGCCTGATTACCCTCTCTGTAAAGAACTTCTTCCTAATAGCCAACCTAAACCTCCCCTGGCACAGCTTAAGACGATGCATTCTTGTCTTACTGATCGTTGCCTGGGAGAAGAGACCAACTCCCACCTGGCTACAACGTCCTGTCAGGGAGTTGTAGAGAGTGAGTAGGTCTCCCTTAAGCCTCCTCTTCTCCAGGCTCGACAACCCCAGCTCCCTCAGCCTCTCCTCACAGGACTTGTGTTCGAGTCCCGTCACCAGCCTTGCTGCCCTTCTCCGGACGAACACTCCAAAGACAGAGAAGGTCCCAGGAAAGCAGGTGTGCCGGGATCGGGAGCATCCCGCGGGCTCGCGGAGCCGGGGCTGGCGCAGCTGCACAGCGGCCCCTGCTGTTCCCAGCCCGGCTCCGGCTGCTCCTCCTGCCCCGCTCTCGCAGGCTCAGCGCAGGGTAAAAAACCTGCTGCACTCCGCATTCACTTCGTGCTGCAGCTCAGCTGGTGTTGTCTTTAATTTCTGTGCGGTTAAGGGAAGAGGTCGTCTGCCAACCACGCTCAGCTGCTCAAAACACGTGGGCAGTCACTTTATAAACCGTATTGGGGCACAACACTTTCACCTCGTGTATCAGAGGCACAGCAGCCTCTCAAAGACCACACAGAGACTGCCTGAGACATGCTGATCCCACCTTCCTCGGGCACTGAGAGTTACAGATAAATTTACACCTGCAAATAACGCACTTTAAGCAAACCAGCTCACCCCGAGGGCTAAAGCAAGAGGGAAGGGGAAACTTAGTAGAAAGTAGAGCTAGATTTCAATAGGAGCACAGTGCCATAACTTTGCCTCCTTCCCCCTCCTCCAAATGGGAGGATAGAAGGTGCAAAGAAATCTTTGATTTGTTTTGTAGTGTTCCTGTAAAAGAGTGGAAGAAAGATTTTTATTAAGGGTGTTTCCATCACCTTGCAAACAGCATGAGACACAAAGGAGCGGGGCAGGATTTCATGGACATATTTCTTGAAATGGAGTGGTCACTCAGTGTAGGGAACCTTTGTTGCTCAAACCACTCACTTACTTCTTGGCAAGGGATCCAACATCTTGACACCAAGTAGTCTTGGCAGTTCTGGGTACCCCTGGTGTCTCATCTGCTCCTCGTCTTGTGCCGGAGATGCTCAGTGCTCTGTGTCTCGCTGTCCTTCTCTGGATCCTGGGAGGGACCAGGAGAATCAGGAGGACCAGTGCTAGACCTCCCATGCAAGGAGTTACCTGTAGACACAAGGTTGGTTGGGTCAAGGATGCCTGTTTTCATACAGATATGGTTTAAGTCACATTTGTAAAGAAGAGGAGTGACGTTGGTGATTTGTGGTGACTTTGGAGGAATGATGATAAATCCTCGCTCCCCATCCTACAGGTGCATGGTTGCTTCATCTGATTTTGAAGGAAAACATGTGAAGAAAGAAAACTATACTGTGGTGCTCTGTACTGTGGCCAAGGTGACCACAGAAAACTGTACAGAAAACTGTACTGTGGCCACAAACACAGTGATCCCTGATGCAGTCACCGGTGTTACCTGAACAACATCCCAGGGTTACTCCAGTCAACATTCTGCCCCATTCACCTGCATGTGCCAGTTAACTTTGTACACAAGGCAGGAGGATCTGACAAAGTGCTTCCAAAGCACTGGGTGCTCAGTATGGAGAGACATCATGATGATATGATCAGAACAGAAGAGTTATTTTCATGAAACCTTCAAATAATAGTTGTTCCCAAGAGCACTGCAGGAAACTGGTGCTACCAGTATAATGATATTTTTACCTTCAGATTCCTCTGTTTGAGGAGGTCTCAGTGCAGTGAGAACCATTCCAAATGTCCTCGGGTAAGGGGAACATCAGCACCTGCCCTGGCTGCTGTACAGTTTCACCTCCACCTACCAGAACCAGGCAGGAATCTGCCCCTTGTCCTGCAGGAAGAGTTCTCTCAAACACCACATTCATGACCAGTCAGGCAGTAGGAAGTCCTTGCACTGCTCCCCTCTTTTAACACAATGGACGTAAGGAATCCAAACCCCAGTGAGGATTCTGCTGTGTCAGTGAATGAAAGGCAGTGACTCACCCTGAATGCCCAGTGCCAGTCCCCTGTGCTCTTTGCCATGCCAGCTGCCAGCATGTAACCACAGCCACTGTGAGCAACAGAAAGGAAGAATCAGAAAGCACCAATGAACTCTGGAGGGCTGAAATGACGTGTCTTAATGAGAGCACAGAGAAGTGTTCTGCCATGGTTTTCAAAAGGGATGAACAGAAACAACCCTCATGGTCTGTGCTAGTCTGCTTGCCAGACTTGAGACAGTGGCAATAATGTCCCAGATTCCCCCTCGGAGTCCATATTCTGTAGAATGACACTGCAAACCCAGATCAAACAGCCCATAAAGCAGTTTATTATTCAGTCCTTTCTGTGCTAGCCATAGGAATTATATGCTGCAGGAATTTCTTTAGTTTTAATCTGCCTTCTGGGCCCAGCCTTGGCTGCCTGCTCTAGTACAGAGTATGTCTCTAAACTACTTAAAAGGCCCTTCTCCTCTTCTTGACACAGTGGGAATTTAACTAAAAGAGGAGAGGGAAGTACCAGTTCTTCATTGGGAGACATTTAATGGAGGGTTCTTGAAAAAATTGTCAAATAAACAAACATCTAAAAGCTTTTGTGTTCCAAAACCCAGAAATACATTACATACCCCCATGCACACATTTCTTTTAGAATTGATTCAATATTTTATTCAAAGCCAGAGTTTAGATTCTCCCTAAAAATGTTGGGGGAAAAAAGCGAATTTTTCTTCAAGGTAAATACAGAAATAAACCTAATCAGCTCCATGCAAACTTGCTAAGGAAGTGACAAATCCCCTTGCAAGAGCCAAGGCAGATATACATCAAAATATATCCAATTGAGGCTTGGGGTGTATTGAATTGCAGGCGTGGTCAGACAGAATTTCAAAAGGCCAGTCAATTACTAGCAAGAAAACCAACCTTCCCACTGGAATGAAGATATAGAAGATAGATAACACTGTGGTCCTTTTTCCTTCCTCAAACAGGTCTGCAATGATGGTGGGTGCTATGGTGGAGTAACTGGCTGTGCCAATGCCAACCAGTCCTCGTGAGAGAACAAATATCCTGTAATACTGCAGGGGAAAGACATGTTATAGTGCAAAAGAGTCCATGCCAGAAAGAAAGCTTACTGTTAAAGAGATGACTTTCAGTGGATCAAATTTAGCAGAGGAAATCAGAGTTGGACTGCCTTTTGCCTGTGTCTGTATTCCCTCCACTCACACCTGCTCCCCTCACACCTCACTGCTGGGCTTTCTCTTTCTGCACAGCACTGACTTCCCACAGTGACACCCAGAGGGAATTTCGGGGTAGGGTGGATAGAGCACATGCTTGCCTAACAAGCTGCCACGCTGTAAGGTCACAAACAACAAATGTTCAGGACAAAAATGAGATCCCATCAATTGCAACAGTAATGTGTGGATTCTCCACTGCCTAGGCTGGTCTCCAGCTTCCCATAGAGCATTCCTGCATGGAGCACATTTAGTCCAGGCTTGGGGAATGAGTGCTCACTGATGCTTTTCCAAATGTGGTTAGAGAGGAACTCTATCAGCTCCTGCAAGGTGTAAGCAGATTATTTTCACAGTACCCTCTAAAAAAGCAACATACCGACTCAGTGATGAAGGAACTGCCCAAGGTGACACCAGACCAGAAGAGAATCCCAGCTCCAAGGATGATTTTCCTGTTGTAGCGGTCTCCGAGGTATCCAAAGATGGGGGCAGCCAGCATGTAACACAAGGTGAACACTGGAAATCCAAGAACCAGCAAAGACAATATTGCTCAGATTATTTTTATCATACATGCTGCTCATCCCTCAGATAAACTCAGGTTATTTTTAGGGCAGAGGTTAAAGGCAGGCTGAGTTTGTAGAACTAGGAGGGAGGTAGATATTTGAAAAAAAAGATAAATGCAGGTTCAAAATACCCATACAAAAATAAAATGTGCGTGAGTTACTCAGGTTCTGTATTTCTTGAGAAATCCTTCATCTTTGTGATTCACATGCTGTGGGATTTTTGGAGGACTCTGGCCTGACTTTGAGTTTTGCATCATAGCCAGCCTGCCCACAAGTGGAAGTGAGCAACACCACACACGAGGAGGAACTGGAGAACTAAATAACTTGGCTGTGTTTTAGGAGCAGACCATGGAGAGGCAAGGCAGAGAGAACTCCCTGAACTGGTTTCATTACCTGTCTGCAGCAGACCTGTCTTCCCATCGCTGAGCCCAAAGTATTTCTGTATATCCAACAGGATCCCTGCAACAGAGGCAGACACTGAATGGCAGCAGAGTACTCTGCTGTAATTGTTGTAATTGCCAACCCAAAAACAGGGCTTGCAAGAACTGCAGCACCTTTAGCTTCTAGTTTAGACTGTAAACCATTATTCTCCCACAAGCACAGAAGTGCAGAGAATTAAAAATTCTTATCACTATAGATAAAATTAATGATCTTCCACTATGTAGGTCTTATGAGAGTCACTGTTTCAACCACAACTGTTCTCTTTCTTTTGCACCATTAGTACCTAAAAAGTTTAGTGTTCAAAGTTGGACACGATGTAGAACAAAGCAGTGGTGAAGTTTGACACCTCGTGGGTGTTGAGACAAAAAGGTCATTTTTACCTCTACGTCCTGCCAAGGCTGCAGATCTGCATTTCACCTACCTTGTATTTCTGCTTTATATTGCTGAAAAACAATTAAAAATAGCAGAAGATACTGCTTGGAATAAGCACACTTATACTCCAATATTGAAAGATATAATTTAATAAGGCATTTCTTCTCATGCTGCTTTAGTTTTGTCAAAATAGATAAAATCATAACATTGTTAAGAGGAAGAAGCCGTGACCACGTAAGAGAACAAGTTCTGGGTAACCTGCCTGCTGTGCTCACAGCAGCTGATCTGCAGCAGGACAGAGCTGGGAGAGCTCAGCAAGAGGCCCCTCTGCTCCCACAGTGTGTTTTCCGTGTTGTGCCATAAAACTACACTGCTGCAGTTCTTAAAAGCATTGTGGGGCCAGTTATTGTAAAGCTAAATCCATGTTCCCCCTGTCCCCGTGGCCGCAGCATCAGTCCACTCACTGTTTACTGATGTGACTTGAAGTCACATAGAGAAGTCACATAGAACAAGGTCCAGCCTAATGGCAGCTCCAGAGGTTTTACAGCTGTTTCTCAAGGACTCTTGAACATATTTGGGGTTTTTCTAATGGTCTCAAAAGTAAGTCAGTGATTTCATTCAATCGTTTTGCATCATTAAAACAGGACAATCAATGGTATCTTTCCTTTCTGGCAGCCAGTGATCAGCACATAGAAAGACTGGATTACAGGAATTCAGGTTTGGACTCACAGAGTATTTAAAACAAATCAGAGCTAACACAAGACTTGACTTGAACCACAGCTTCATCTCAAACTGACTTTCACACTGAGCACCATTGAATTGCTATTCCTTCCACAGAACTGGAATAACTGACCTGAGCAGTTATTGGCAAATGACAAAGCATTGATTTGAACAGTTTGGAACAGGGTCACAGATCAGAGGGGAAAGGTCTGCATGATCACTGGTTTTAAAAACTGGAGACTCAATTCCAGCAGACAATTTAGTGGAAGAGCTTGTTTTCTGTGTGAAGATTGATGTAAATTCTGTCAAAGCCTGCGAGCAAAACTGCCCGGAAACCACAACTTCACGACTGCCACCAGCTTCTTTCTAATCAGATCCTCACACCTGCCCTGCTTCTCTTTCCTGTCAAACAACAGGCTCCTGCATGGACAGCCAAACTCAAAAGTACTGCTGGAAGAATTCTGCAGTGACATTGAATTCTAGCAGATGAACAGTCTGGTGCTGGGGTATAAACTGCAGTTTACGGATGGCCCCCATGGCCCAGGAGGTCACAGAACTAACTAAAAAGTGGTTTAGTCATCTCATGTAATTAAAGGACATGTTTCAAAGGCCTGGCCTCTGCTCTTGAAGGTGCCTCGCTCACAAGAGCGTGCTGGGGAAATTTTAAGCTCCTGGCACATACAAAGACTAGTTCAAAGCCTGGAATGAGCCAAATGGCTGCTTGCACTTAACCCTTCCAAGTGCATCCCCTCCACACATCCCAGCTCTTGCCTGAAGATGTTTTCATCCACTCCTACCCACTTCCTTCCCTCTTACTGGTGTGGTTAAGAAGTACTCAAAATAAAAAAGCTCAAACTCCTAAACCCCCTACCCTCTCCATTTTGAAAGATACTGACTGAGTGTCTTGAATTTCTGAATGGTCTAACTAGTAAAATAATTACTTTGTGAACTGTCACTAGTTATTAATTCCAAATTTAACAACTTGTGTTTTTTCAAGGTTTTAAAATATTTCTGATTTCCAGACCACTCAGAAGTAACATATAGCAAGCTCACAACAAGTGTTTCCTACTGATTTCTAAGCCAGATCCCTGGCAGCATGATAAATCCTTAGGAGTGATGCTAAAGAGAAGAATTTACACAAACCACCATTTACATTGTGAGAAAAAAACCACAGATTCCCCACCAGTTTACTAGAAGCAACTCTTTTTTGTTCACCACTAGGAAAAAAAAAAGTTAAAAAATCACATTTTGGAGGAAGGAGATTATTTTTTAGACAAGTTGTATATTTGGTAGGGGATGCTTAGGGAAGTGGGTCTCTGTTCTCTTTACACAATCATGTTACTCCTCATTGCAGGAAGCACACGATTGCCAGCAGCTCACGAGGAAGTTAAGAAAGCCAAAAGTTGACAGAGTTATCTTTTATTGGTACAAAGATAATATAGTTTTTGAACTTTTAATGGAGGGAATGGCATCAGTATTCTCCAGATAAAGGAGTGCCATATGGAATCTACCAGATCCAAAGGAGGCCTGGTAAACTGCTCTACACAGTAAAGGGAAGTTCCTTAGTCAATCTTCTGTAGAGCCCAGACACAAAAATAGACTTTGCTAAAGTCTGTTTATAAGAGATTTAGATTGTAAAATATTATATGACCCTTATAAATATTCTACAAATCATTATTAACTAATACATTATTCCTAGGTGCTTCCAGATTTATAACTGGAAGTTTTATTAAGAGTATGATTGACAGGCTAAGGCAGAGGAAAAATTAAAAGACATAAAGCATATTATTACGTTAGAAACATTTGTAAAGTAGAGCTGTTGAGAACTTACATTTCTTTTTCCTTAGAGGAAGAAAATAGGCTCTCACCTGGCACAATGAACCAATCCATGAAATTTATTAAATTCCCAAAGCACAGCACGGCGACTACCAGGCAATCCCTCACTGCCGGGCTGTTCCTTGGCGCAGGCACAGCTGGGCATCGTGTCCCATCTCCTGCAGCAGCTCCGTAGTTCTGTCCCTCCAGCAGTGCCTGGAGCTGCAAGCCTGTGTCCTCGTGTGCCCGGGGGGGCTGCATGTTGCCCTCACCCAGCAGGGATGGTGAAGTGTTTCCCCGGTGCACCAACCCACACGCCAGTTTTGTGTGGGGCTTTGAGGAACTTCAATCTCTACGGTCATTTCCGGCCCTCAGAGCTGAACTGAAATGTTCCTGCAGTCAGAAGAACTTGTGAAGAAAGGAGCTGCAGTCCTGTGCTTTTGCAGAGCAATGCCTTGAAGACAAGGCAAAGTAAATGTAAACAAAAGCCAAGTAACCTGTTGTGCACCTGAGAAATGAAAGTGCACAACTCTGCAGTGATCTCACAGGAATTGCACGTGTAAAAATAACTATAACCTTTTTTAAGTTCTCAGGGAGTTGACAGAGCTAAAAACAGTCTTTCTAGAGAAGAGAGAGAAAGAAATAAAGGGATGCTTGTTTGCTAGACCAGGTACCTGGGTTTTGACTTGAGCTCTCCTTTACCACACACTTGTGCAACTCTGAACAAGTCCTTTGCTTTCTCTGCACCTGATTCTCACCATCCACAACCCCTGGCCTTTAAAATAGAGCTCTGGAGCCTTGGCCCTGCCACCTGACCAGTTATCACCCATGTGCTTTGCACTGGCCACATCTATCCTCACAACAAAATCCTTCCCAGTAAGTTCCTGAATTTTTAGGTCAAATCAGCAGCAGACTCATCTGCAGACTAAGTGCTGGGTTCTGTTTGGTATTTTTAGGGGGGAATACAAAACAAAACCAACATCAACCTAGAATGCTCCAGTAAGCAGAGAAAGGGAGATGGAAACCAACACTTTTCCTCACCCCTGCTGGAACTGTGCACATTCCACAGTTCTGAATCATGCAAAGGGATTTTTTTCCCCTTACTCCCCTCAAAAACAAGTCCAAAAAGTGAAGAACAGAGAGCACAGGAGGGTGTTCTTGTCCTTTTGGTGCATGTAGGTACCTTTATTTGCTGCCTTTCTTCTGGCCACTCACATTTATTAAAGTGTTCAGTCACATGTCTTTTGAGCCGTTTTGTGGATTAGCAACTTGAGAAAGTAATTTATTTTTTGCACCCTGTTAAAAAAGTTTAAAGTGAAAATTAACAGTAAACTCTAAGAGTTTAAGAGTGAGGCAGCTAATTGGAATGAGTACTGCTTATGGTTCATGACTCAGGCATGAAGACAAGACTGTGGTTGGGGCTTTTTTAAGAACCATGTATTTCACACTTTGGACTAAACTGAATAGCACTTAGTATTCTTGGCCATTTTGTAAATCCAGACCCCTTTTCTTCTGTGAGTTTAACAGTGCAGTATTTCATTCTATCTTCATTTTGTGAAGGTCTGGTTCTTCATGAACCAGAAGGCAACTTTAATTTAATCATGGGTAAGTCAATATTACTTTTATTTCAAGAGGAATTTTTTTTATTTTAACATCTTAGCTCTCAACCTTTTAAGGGAGAATTTAGATGCAGATCATGGGCATCTTTCCCCACTCCTGCTCAAGGGAGCTCCCTGTAAGTCAGCTTGTGTCTGAAAACATTTCGGTGTTCAGCTTGCTACTGGGAACCAATCTGTGCCCTATGCAATACTATCACTACTACCTTTTTCTCTGCTATAGACCCTTCACCGAGTACATGGCATGTTATCCATGCATCCCACTGCGGCATTAAACCAATGAAGCCAAGAGTTGACTGTGCTTGGGAGCAATAAAGAATCATAGAATATGCCGAGTTGGAAGGGACCCCTCAGGATCAAGTCAGACCCTGCAGAGACCCCCCAACAATCCCACCCTGTCCCTGGGAGTTTTCCAAACACTTACTGAACTCTGTCAGGCTTGGTGCTGTGCCCACTGCCCTGGGGAGCCTGTTCCAGTGCCCGACCACCCCCTGAGTAAAACACTTTTTCCTGATATCCAACCTAAATCCCCCCGACTCAGCTCCCGCCGTTGCCTCGAGTCCTGTCCCCGCTCACGAGAGTGAAGAGATCGGCCCCTGCCCCTCCGCTTCCCCTCGTGAGGGTGCCGAAGGATCATGATCCCTCACGAGGACGCTGAATCAGCACAGCTTTGTAGAGATTAAAATTTTTATCTCCACCCACAGCCGTGGAGAAAAGGCAATCAGAAACACTTATTAAAACCTCCCACCAAAATGGCTTTGCCGAGTCCCCGCGGGCTGTGGCGGTGCGAGGCGCTGCCCGGCTTTGCCGCTCGATGGCGCTCCAAGCCCGGCCTCTCCCTCCTCTCCATCCCTCAGCAGGAATATTTTCCATGTTCGATGCCCAGCCGCATCTCAGAGCCGGTAAGGCCTCGCAGGGCGGCTCGTCAGGGTTTAACGCGTACTTTGCATATGTTAAATGCCTTTTGATCCCAACGGCCTCGGAGTTTCCCAGGCACATCCTGTATCGCTCTCAACTGCTGACATTTACTGCTAGACATGATGTTTACAGACAGCCAAAAGCAGGTTTCTAACTGTAACTGCTGAGGCAAGAACTCAGTTCTGCTCTTTTGAAACACAATTTCCAAATTCTAAATTTTCCAAAGACACAGTCAGATTAAACAGAAAATGTTCCTCACAAACACCAAACCACCAGTTCTAAACTCCTCTTTAACTTTTTTTTCCCTTTCTGCCCTTCATTAAAGTTTCAATCACTTCCACTTCATGATTTTTATTGCTGTGCTACCTGGCCGCTGGTACCAGCCCTCACGTCCCTTTGCATGTCCCTTTCTTCCTCATCTCAGTGTCTCCTCCTTCCATCCCCTCTGGGTTTCACTGTTGGATACAAGTCTGCGGTGGTTTCTAAAAGGCCCCTGAGACTTTGCCTCCCTCTGTCAGCTCCTAAAGCCATCATTCCTTGATAACCACCTGCCTTTAACTGCCTGCTTGTTCTGGCCTCCAACCACAATTTTCCTGTTCATCCAGACACAGTGTGCAAAAAATTCCTGCAAAACTTTGTGACAATCCACTCCTGCTGTGTGGAATACAGAATACCACTACACAATACAAGTCAGCTTTTGTTAGGCAAGATTACAGCTCATTTCTTTATAGGCAATTATTTATTTTCCTTATTTGTTCCTTTTTATCAGTCAGGCAGTTCCTTTCTCAGAGCAAAGTGCAGTGTTTGCCTGCACATCTTACCTGGGGGTGCAATATAAAAATTAGCTTTTCTTCCCTGTTCCACTCCTTCAGAAGCTCTGTTCTCTTGGTGGTTCATTTGGGCACGAGATCTCATGGCTGTGCCATGCAGTTAAACCCTTCTGTGCGAGCAGCAAGTCAGAACCTCTTCATTTTCATGTTTGGCACTAGTCCAACACATTTGGTGATACCCAAACTGGCTGGCTGACACTCAGCAGGCCAACAAACGTGCCATACCTGAAACCCAACAGGAGTGTGTGAGAGCCTCCACTTTTCCCAGAAAGGATTTCCAAGTATTTACTACAAAATGCCCTTGAATGTATTTATATATCTAAATATCCTTTAATAGTGGGTGCTGCCACATCCATGAACTGCTTTGGAGCTTTGCCAGAGCCTTCCCAGAAAAGTCCACCAGAAGGGGCATTAATAGTGAACCAAGATGTCAGAAACATATAAATTGAAAATATCTTATTATCCTGATTAACACCAAACCATTTCTGTACATGCAATGAAAAGAAGCTTATTAAGCCACAGAATAGCAAACAGCAACAGTCTGTGAAAGAATTGAATATGGAAATAATATTCCTTGTTGACTAGATCTTACAATACTGATTTTAGGAAGAAAGAAAGAAGTTGCTTTTGGTATCTCTCTGTGCATGACTCACACAGAGAACATAAAGTAACCAAAAGAAAATATATGCTTGTGTGTATTTGCAAGCTTGTATTTAATGGCTGCAATAGGGTTGCAACCAGCAGTATTTAATGGGGACCATATAAGACTGGTCAGTATTTAATGGGGACCATATAAAACTGGCCTGCATTTTGAGGTGTAGGTATTTTTAACCCCTTGTGATGGAAGCAGATTCATAAATCATGAGATTTTGCCATCAACTGAGATATGGATTGCTGCAAAACTTAGAAATTTTAGGGTCTGAAAGGATCAGAAGAGTAAAATTTAACATCATCCTGGTAGACAGACAGCTCAATAAATGCATGTCTGGACCTACCTGAAATATTCCACTCCAAGGAGATCTAAAGACAATGATAGTGACTGCAAAGGAGCTGCAGAGGGACAGAGATTTATGTAAGAGGCTGGGGGGGGGTTGAGGTTTGTCAGCATTGGAACCAGTGCTGGGTTTGAACCCCGTCTGCAGTGCTAAAACACCGCGTTGGACTGAGCCGTGAACACCCGGGCTGCAGGGCTGCAGGGCAGCAGTTTGACCTGCGGCTCAAACCAAGCAGTGACCAAACTGACCCGGGGGCAGCGGCTCGAGCGATGTCACCACGTGTGAAATTCAGCGTGAATCTCGGTTACGGACGATTACAGAGTCAACGCTTCACCCCGCGCTCATAAAAGATGCTCTTACAAAAGTCCAGGGATGACTCATCTCCCAACGTGTGTATTTTCCTCGCCTTTCAGCTCCAGCCTGATGCACATTTGCCAGGCTGTTCTTGCCTTGGAATGCGCAGCCCATCCTGGCTGAGGGGAGGGGGGAACTCGGAGGGAAGTTTGAGAAATTCTGCACCTGTACTTTGTTGAATCTGCTCTATCTCTCTGTGGTGTTTGTGGCCACATTAGTCACGATTAACATGCAGGTAGCAACTGCTAATGACTTCAAATACTGTTAGGAAATATTTAGAATGACATTTAGTAACTGAGTAATCAAGACCAGATTGCCACAGTTTTTCTTCACCTTTGCAGGCAGAACTAAATGTATGAGCCATTATTCAATTTGTGTCTCTTGCCTTTGCCTACATCTTGTGGAAAAATATGTAACAAGGGACTCAATCATCCAGACTAACAATCTTTATGAGTTCACTGCACTTCATGAGCAATCTTCTGTTACCAAAAAAGTTCAAGAAAACCAACTGGAGCACCTGATTCACTATACACTTAATTGGAAAATATCTGCCTGGAAGATTCTCATTCTGTGAGTTTCAATAAATGCTACATTTTTAGCCACCACATCCTTTTTGCCTCCTTAGCCTGAATTTCCATCTAAAATGCTTCCTTTCACGTTGCCTGGATAATAGCACAAAACACAGTGTGGATCCAGTGGAAATGTACTTTAGC